AGCAATTAACCACTAAGAAGAATATATGCAGTGTGTTATTTGTTGAAACTGTACTTCCGATTTGATTTGAAACTGTCTCATTGCTGTTTATCAATAAAATTTTTGAAAAAAAAAAAAAAATAGAGAGATCTTGTCAGCTTGACAAGGTAGAGAAAACAAATCACCCATGGACCCTCTAATGTAATTATCAGATCTCTGATAATTCTTTCACAGGAAAGCAGTAAAGGCTAGAGTTTTACTGAGGACACTTACTGCTGAGGATGTGGAGAAGACCGGGGGGAAGGGTATGCCTGTGTCCAGAGGGGTTTGAGGAAGCTTCCCAGGCCCAGAGTGAAGGAGGTCTCGAAGGCTAGAGCCTTCACTTTTGTTGTTGGAGGCAGTGGGACCCAGTAACAAACTGTTAAAAAGCTTTGGAGTCAACGGAGAGACCTTTGCGGTGGAGTTGAACGAGTCCAGCCCAAAGGGTGAATGAGACTCTTTATTGAGCACCGACCTCAGGGACCCTGCTTCTGTAAGAACAGGAATAGGATTAGGCACAGTTAGGAATACCTGGCAGACAAGTGACTCCTAAAACTTAGATGAGTGACCCCAAGCTATCTAGGCTTTGTCAGAGCCATCCTGATGAGCTATGAGTAGGAAGTCTTAGGACCAAAGGGAAACTTTTCTCTTCCAGATTTGGATCACAAACTTTATTTTGTTCCTATCACCTTTGGTCTCTCTCAAAGACCATTCTTCAAGTGGGTTGCCAGAACTGTTGTACTATAATCAGCTGGAGTTCTTGTTAAAAATGGAGATTGGTGGTCTTACCCCAAGAGAATTTGATTAAATATTTCTTTGGGGTGAAGGTATCTGCATTTCTGAAAGTTCTCAGATGGCTCTTGTGCCCACTAAAAATTATTTCTCTAAGTCTAGATCTAAATCTTGGATGCAAAATAAAACCACCTGGGAAGCTCCTTAAGCATGCAATCAATTCTGACTAAGGAGGTCTGGAGGAAGGATCCAGGAATATGTCTTTTTAGAAAAACTCCACTTCTGGAAAGACACTAAAACAGATTTACTTATTTTATGTGATCAGCCAGAGAAAGCAAGCAACATGCTTCATAAATGTGGATGGTAATGTTTGAGTCTGAAGAATCCCAGAACAATCCACAGGCTTCAACAGGCATGACAGAGGCTGGTGCTCATCTTACCTTTAGTTTCTTCTTTTGCCTTCTGTGTTGCTAAATCCGCCAACCAATGCAGGGCAGAGGAGGGGGGTGTTGTGTCGGGGCATGGGGGCCTGATGGCTTTGAGCTCACTATTGCTACTGGATGCTGAACCATCTGCTTTCAGGGGCTCTTCAGGTCTGATATCAGTGCCATCACCCTTAGATACATGGTTGGGCTCTGGCGCTGTTCCTGTTGCAGTTCCTCCTCCACCTGAGAAGGTAGTTTCATTTCCAGAAGAGGCACTAGGGTTTATGCTAGGAAGCTGGAGCACAGAAGGTTAGAGGGCTTGTTAGAAGCATGGATAGATGGGCCTGGTGGTGCACACCTATAATTCCAGCACTCGGGAGGTTGAGGCAAGAGAACTGCTTTGAGTTTGAGACCAGCCTGGACTACGAAGTGAGCTCAAGACCAGCCTGAACTACATAACAGGAACTTGTCTCAAAAAGACAAAAGAAGCATGGATAATTCAACATATTGTATTTGTACTGAGTTTGACATGGTGCTGCAAGCTATACTAAGTTCTGTGGAAAATACAGTGAACAAAACTTAGAAGTTTATAATCTAAAAAAATGATTTTGAATGCTGGAGATCATTTCTGCAATAGCAAACTGGTGATTAAAACTCATTCCCACAAAGCCATTCTGGGGATTAAATGAGATTATGTAAAGGGTCTAGCAGAGTTCTAGTGCAGCCAATGCCCTCCATCACCCTGCCAGTATACTTCAGTTAGTTATTCCTCTTAGAAATGGCTGGTCATGGGGCTGGAGAGATGGCTCAGTGGTCTAAAGCACCTACTTGGAACAAGCTTGCCAAAGCACAGGGACCGCGGTTCGATCCCCCAGCACCACATGCCAGCCAGTCCTGCCCCCTGGTGGGCTGAGCTGGCCACACACACAATAAATAAATGTATAAATAAATAATTATAAAAAAAAATTTCTAAAAAAAAAAAAAAAAGAAATGGCTGGTCACTATGATGTGTAGCTGGTCACTATGATGCACATTGTATAAACCAATCTCCAAGTGAGAAGCCATTCTGCCTCTGTACTTCTCGCTTGTTTACCTTATATAAGCCCTAGACCACTAGAGATCAGGGCCTGAAATTCTAGAAGGGAGTGATCCTGATTAATGCCCATCAATGTAAATAAATCTGCCTCCTAATCCTCAGTGTCATTTCAGTGTTTTTGCTTGCTATTGCATTTGGTGTATCAGGTGGGAATACTGACTATGCTGACTTCTTTGGTTACCAGTTGTGGCCCTCCAAAACAGTATGAGGACTTCTCCAGGTCCCAATAGGAAGGCACACCCTCAAAATTTCTTGTGTCCCCTCATGGGTCTGGAGGAGGATTCCTGGCTCTCCACGTGAGCAGCTTACACCATACCCCAGAGGAAGGAGAATGCAATCTGTTTGTCTGTCTGCATGACTGATTCCAGTAAGACTCCTGGGGGAACTCTAGTCAGTCTGTCAGTGCTACTCAGCTTGAGCAGAAGAGTGCGATCAACTCTTGTTATTTAAAGCTATCTTCGGGGCTGGTGAGATGGCTCAGTGGTCTAAAGCACCTACTCAGAACAAGCTTAGCAAAGCACAGGGACCGCAGTTCAATCCCCCAGCACCACATGC